GAACAGAAAAATAGGAAGCAAAAGTACGGAAGAACATGAAGGTTAATACTATGGAAAGAGCCTAGATGTCCATCAACAGATGAATGGATAAAGAAGATGTGGTACATATATACAATGGAATATTATGCAGTCATCAAAAAAAATGAATTCTTGCCATTTGCAATGACGTGGATGGAACTAGAGGGTATTATGCTAAGTGAAATAAGTCAATCAGAGAAAGACAAGTATCATATGATCTCACTGATATGAGGAATTTGAGAAACAAGACAGGGGATCTTAGGGGAAGGGAGGGAAAAATGAAACAAGATGAAACCAGAGAGGGAGAAAAACCGTAAGGGACTCTTAATCTCAGGAAACAGAGGGTTGCTGGAGTGGTGGGGGGTGGGAGGGATGGGGTGGCTGGGTGATGGACATTGGGTAGGGTATGTGCTGTGGTGAGCATTGTGAATTGTGTAAGACTGATGAATCACAGACCTGTACCCCTGAAACAAATAATACATTATATGTTAATAAAAAAAAAATTAAAAAAAAAGAACATGAAGGGTAAAGCTTATGTAGAGAATGGTGGCTTTTAACAATTTAATATAATAGTTTGGGAAATTGACATTTTATGCTTTTTTATTGAATATTATTTTTCAATGAGTAGCTGTGGAAGAAGACTTTCAATGCTGCTGTAATTTATCAGTACCAAATAAGTGTGTATAAATAAAATATTAAAATTAAACATCAGAAACTAATATAACTATAACTGTAAGTTGACTAACTGAAATTAAAAACAAAAAAAATGAAACATCAGATTCTTTCTTTCTTTCTTTCTTTCTTTCTTTCTTTCTTTCTTTCAGAGAGAGAGCACATGTATGCGTGAGAGGGGAGGGGGTGGGCAGGGGGAGAGAGAGAATCCCAAGCAGACTCCATGCCCAGTGTAGAGCCTGATGCAGGGCTTGATCTCATGACCCTGAGTCATGACCCGAGCCAAAATCAAGAGTCAGCTGCTTAACCGAATGAGCCATCCAGGTGCCCCTCTTTGAGAGATTTCTGTGTCCCTCTCACTACCAGCCCCCTCCTCCCTCCACACATGCACTGCTGTTGGGCAGAGACTTTAAAAGCCTGAGTATAATTAAAGAGACATACAGGTAATATGAAAGAATCAGTCCATGAAAGAAAAAAAAAGTTACTACTTCTGTCAATGTTCTAACTAGATTGCGATCACTCTGAGCATACATTAAGTTTTATCCTATATAGGGCATTTCAAATTTTGACTCCCATACTTAAATAGACATATCAAGAATGTAGGGAGTTGAAAAGGACGATGGTTAGAGAAACTCAGGAGAAGATGTTGATGGAAGGAGAAGTGTACAACCACGTGGGAGAGGCTTGCAACATGGTCCAGAAGTATTATACCACAACTATTAAGTATGTGTTCATCACCCAGCACCAACTACTTTTATGTGGGATAATAAGTATCTTAATATGAGATCTTTGCCCTCAACAGCCTTTCATTATTATTCAAAAGCTTTTAGCAATATGTTGAGATTAACTCTGTTTTTGATAGAATGTGGATATTTCCCAGAAGTGGAAAGGAAAAAAAATGTCTGGGTGGTCAGGCCATAAGATCACAAACTGGCAGACAATAATATTTTACTCAGTAAAGTAGGAGAGTTTTTAGATATGTTGGAAGGACCCCTATTGATCTTCCTTGATGATGAACTTGATGGTGAGGTAGACAACTATTTTTTTTTTAAGATTTTATTTATTTATTTGAGAGAGAGAATGAGAGATAGAAAGCACAAGAGGGAAGAGGGTCAGAGGGAGAAGCAGACTCCCTGCTGAGCAGGAAGCCCGATGTGGGACTCGATCCCGGGACTCCAGGATCATGACCTGAGCCGAAGGCAGTCGCTTAACCAACTGAGCCACCCAGGCACCCGAGGTAGACAACTATTACAGAGGCTTGAGCTGAAAGCTTTGTTGGTGGGATGTAGGATTGACTAGATGCAAAGGAAGAAACCCATGTAGGCTACTCATGGGAAAGCACTTGGATGTCTAAAGCAAACAGAAATATCAAAGGACAAAGACAGAGACATATCAGAAAGGAACTCAAAAGCAACTACACATCAAACCTTAATATGGGAAAGTTATCTTGATCCATTGATGTTAATTTGACACCCACCAATGATCCATTACTAATTCTGTAGTCATGCTTACTTTAGCATCAACCTTGACACCTACTCTAACACCCCCAACCCAACCCCATCAACACCAAACACCTTGGACAACTGTCATTCACCCAGTGAGTGCTGATTACTCTTTTTTTTTTTTTAAGATTTTATTTATTTATTTGACAAAGAGAGACACAGCGAGGGAGGGAACACAAGCAGGGGGAGTGGGAGAGGCAGAAGCAGGTTTCCCGTGGAGCAGGGAGCCCAATGCGGGGCTGACCTGAGCCAAAGATAGATGCCTAACGACTGAGCCACCCAGGCGCCCCGAGTGCTGATTATTCTTAAAACAAAATTATTTTGGAGGACAACTGTACCTCTCAAAATGTAAAACATGTGTGGCCATTTGAGGAAGCAGGGTTACTTCCAGAAAGCTATTTTGGACATGTGCAAAAGGATTTATGTTTCAAGTATTTTCGCTTCAGCATACTTTGTCACAGAAATATAGAGTGAATATGTTTTTAACAAATTAAAGTATTTTTATGTTATGAAATTACCTTCTGACCTTGTAGAAATGAGTTAGACTTTCCAGGACTAACTGGGGATATTCATATTTGTATTTCTGGGTTTCTTAAGCTACACATAAATGCTTTTAAGAAGTAAATCGGGGCACCCGACTGACTCTGTCAGTGAAGTGTGTGACTCTTGATCTCGGGGTTGTGAGTTCGAGCCCCACGTTGGGTGTAGAGATTACTTAAAAATAAAATCTTAAAAAGTAAGTTGAAAAAATGTTGCCTCTAACTTATCACTTGCAGCCACATGCTCTGCCTTTTCTCCCATTACAACAGACAATCTCTCTATGCTCCTTACTAATGCCAAAATCAGCATTTGTGCACAAAATCTTATCCCCTGTGATTTAGTCCAGGCTGTTGCTGCAGCAATTCTCCCCTCTCTCCTTCTTCATCAAGTTTTTTTCCTCTCCGTGGATTACATCCATGAGCATCAAAATTGTTCTCATTTCTCCCATTTTAAGTACACCTTCTCTTAAAGCTACTTTCACCATCAGCTACTGACCTGTGTCTTTAATTAATTTCCTTACAGGAAATTCTTCAGATGAGTACAGTATTTCTTGCTCATATTAAAGTCCAATGTGAACATTCTTGGTTAAGTGGCTTTCCATAACATCTAGACCTTGACTTCTTCCATCATACGTGCTGCCATTTTCTAGGTCTTAAGGGTCTTCTCCACTCAATCCATAGATTTGGAAAAGAGAGAGGGGATTGTGCCAGAACCGGAAGTGGTGCCCATCACCTCCACTCACATTGCATTCACCAGAAGTCAGTTATATGGTCATCCTTAACTGCAGAAAAGCTGTGTGCTCCACAGGAAGAAGGAAACACAGACACTGGTGAATATTAACACTAGGTCTCTTATTCCCACAAGCCAGGCTACTTTAAAAAGAGCAAGACTCGGGGCACCTGGATGGCTCAGTTGGTTAAGCGGCTGCCTTAGCTTAAGCTCAGTCGGTTAAGCCCGGCATCAGGCTCCCTGCTGAATGGGGAGTCTGCTTCACCCTCTCCCTCTGTGTGCGTGTGCTCAATTTCTCAAATAAAGAAATAAATAATGTTAAAAGATTTTATTTATTTATTTGACACAGAGAGAAAGATAGCGAGAGAGTGAGCACAAGCTGGGGGAATGGCAGACAGGCAGAGGGAGAGGGAGAAGCAGGCTTCCCGCGGAGCAGTGAGCCCGATGTGGGGCTCGATCCCAGGACCCCGGGATCATGACCTGAGCCGAAGGCAGACGCTTAACTGACAGAGCAACCCAGGCACCGTTAGATAAACAAATCTTAAGAAAAGTGGGGGGGGGGGCTGCAAGACTCTGGTGTTAGCAACAGTTTTCCGTACTTTTGCACAATCTGGAATCGTCTGATCCCTCAACTTTCTGTCTATCCTTTAGTACCCTCTTACTGCACTTCCTTCCTTAGCCATGGTCCATAATTATAATCACTCTTGCAAATACTTAAATTTGGCCTTCCTCTCTTAGTCATTTCCACTCATAAAAATCCATCCCTCCAGATCATACTGTAATCTCACCAATCCAGCAGTCTATGTTAGTCACATTTATTGTGGGACAATTAGAACTTATGTTTGTCCCAATGTGAAGCTATATAAAATAGGCATCAATTATTTTTTATTATTGGGACGCCTGGGTGGCTCAGTTGCTTAAAGTGTCTGATTCTTGGTTTCAGCTCAGATCATGATTTCAGCCCTGCATTGGGCTCCCAGCTCAGCGCAGAGTCTGCTTGTCCCTCTCCCTCTGCTCTTCCCCCTGTTCACTCTTTCTCTCTCTTTCTCAAATAAATAAATAAAATTAAAAAAAAAAATTATTTTATATTGTTGGCAGCAATACTACTTTTTATTATAACCTCCAGTCTATGGAAAATTTAGGGAATATAAGAAAAAGTTATGTGACATCAGGAGAAAATAATCAGAAAAATCTAAAATATGAGACATTCTGGAGGATCCAGTCTCTGCAGCATTTCAATGTCATGAAAAAAAGACTGTTCTAGATTAAACAGGAGACATAAGGATATTACAAACAAATGCAATACATGGTTATAGATTGGATACTGGATTGGGTGATGGAGCTGCTGGACCAGAGATTCTAAGCAAGACCAAGCTCTAAGAAATGACTAATCTTCTTCAAGATTGAAGAGTAGTCTGATTTCTCATTTTTTCCTGACTCACTAAAAATAGTATTTCAGATGAGTTAGAATAGTTATTGAAAAATCATTGGGAGGCGCCTGCTGGCCATTTCTTCTCAGCCACGCTGAAGTCGTGTGTTCAGGCTGTCTCGACGCCAGGACCCACTAGGAGACGATGATGTCGGGCACCGAAGGTGGAGAGGGATTCGTGGTGAAGGTCCGGGCCTTACCCTGGTCTTGCTCGGCAGACGAAGTGCAGCGTTTTTTTTCTGACTGCAAAATTCAAAATAGGGCTCAAGGTATTCGTTTCATCTACACCAGAGAAGGCAGACCGAGTGGCGAGGCTTTTGTTGAACTTGAATCAGAAGATGAAGTCAAATTGGTCCTGAAAAAAGACAGAGAAACTATGGGACACAGATATGTTGAAGTAGTCAAGTCAAACAACGTTGAAATGGATTGGGTGTTGAAGCATACTGGTCCAAATAGTCTTGACACGGCCAATGATGGCTTTGTATGGCTTAGAGGACTCCCCTTTGGATGTAGCAAGGAAGAAATTGTTCAGTTCTTCTCAGGTTTGGAAATCGTGCCAAATGGGATAACATTGCTGATGGACTTCCAGGGGAGGAGTACGGGGGAGGCCTTCGTGCAGTTTGCTTCACAGGAAATAGCTGAAAAGGCTCTAAAGAAACACAAGGAAAGAATAGGGCACAGGTATATTGAAATCTTTAAGAGCAGTCGTGCTGAAGTTAGAACTCACTATGATCCACCAAGAAAGCTTATGGCCATGCAGCGGCCAGGTCCCTATGACAGACCTGGAGCTGGCAGAGGGTACAACAGCATTGGCAGAGGGGCTGGCTTTGAACGGATGAGGCATGGTGCTTATGGTGGAGGTTACGGAGGCTATGATGATTATAATGGCTATAATGATGGCTATGGATTTGGGTCGGATAGATTTGGAAGAGACCTCAATTACTGTTTTTCAGGAATGTCTGATCACAGATACGGGGATGGTGGCTCTACTTTCCAGAGCACAACAGGACATTGTGTACACATGCAGGGATTACCTTACAGAGCTACTGAGAATGACATTTATAATTTTTTTTCACCGCTTAATCCTGTGAGAGTACATATTGAAATTGGTCCTGATGGCAGAGTAACTGGTGAAGCAGATGTCGAGTTTGCAACTCATGAAGATGCTGTGGCAGCTATGTCAAAAGACAAAGCAAATATGCAACACAGATACGTAGAACTCTTCTTGAATTCTACAGCGGGAGCAAGCGGTGGTGCTTATGGTAGCCAAATGATGGGAGGCATGGGCTTGTCAAACCAGTCCAGTTATGGCGGCCCAGCCAGTCAGCAGCTGAGTGGTGGTTATGGAGGCGGCTATGGCGGCCAGAGCAGCATGAGTGGATATGACCAAGTTTTACAGGAAAACTCCAGTGATTTTCAATCAAACATTGCATAGGCAGCCAAGGCGCAGTGAACAGCAGCTACTACAGTAGTGGAAGCCGAGCATCTCTGGGCATGAACGGAATGGGAGGGATGTCTAGCATGTCCAGTATGAGTGGTGGATGGGGGTTGTAACTGATCCTGATCACTGACTCTTGGTCAAGGTTTTTTTTAAAAAGTTTAACAGTTTTGCAATACAAGCTTGTGATCGATGCTTACTCTTAAGTGGAAATCAGGATTGTTTTAAAGACTTAAGGTTCAGTATTTTTTGAACACAAACATTCATCTAGGATGTAACAATGGAGTAAACTATAACTGTTAAACAATTTTCAGCTTTTCTTTAGTTCTATTGTAGGATGTACTTAAGCAGCAAGTGTATTTAGGTTAAAGCAGTTGAATTATGTTAAATGTTGCTCTTTTACCACATTACACTGAACACTGTTGGGATGCATGTTGAAAGACATGTTTTTTGTAAAACTCAATATAGGAGCTGTGCCTACAATTAAAAGTGAACACATTTGGCATGTTTGTTAATTCTAGTTTCATTTAATAACCTCAAAGGCACGTAAGTTGAAGCTCTTTTTTTTTTTTAAGTTAATGGGGGACTTTGAGACGCAACACCATACGTTAGGATTTTGGTCTTGGTGTTTGTATGAAATTCTGAGGCCTTGATTTAAATCTTCCCTTGTATCATGATTTCCTTTGAGGTGTATTGCGCTAAGTGAAACTTGTCAAATAAATCTTCCTTTTAAAAACTGCAAAAAAAAAAAAAGAAAAATCATTGGACTCTTGCAACTTCCATGAAACACTCCATTTCTTGGGCAACTGAAACAGACACAGGCAGAATACTCATCTATTAACCCTTGCAATCCACCCTAAGAGATAAGTACTTATTCCCCCCCCCAACAAACACTGGCCACCATCTACCCTGAGATCTGTTTTTTTTTTTTCTTTTCCCTCATCTGGTCATCTGTTTCCCTGAATATATCTTCTTTATTGTTATATACTTAGGTTTTATGATAGTATATAGCAATTCATTTTGTTTAGTTTTACAGCATCTCATTCTTTTTTTTTTTTAAGATTTTTATTTATTTATTTGACAGAGAGAGGGAACACAAGCAAGGGCAGTGGGAGAGGGAGAAGCAGGCTTCCCGCGGAGCAGGGAGCCTGATGCAGGGCTCGATCCCAGGACCCGATGTGGGGCTCAAATCTCACAACCCTGAGATCATGACCTGAGCCGAAATCAAGAGTCAGAGATGCTTAACTGAGCCATCGAGGTGCCCCTGGAAGGAGCTTTAAAAGATATTGGCCCCTGGGGCACCTGGGTGGCTCAGTTAGTTAAGCATCTCTGACTCTTGATTTTGTTTCAGGTCATGATCTCAGGGTTGTGAGATTTGAGCCCCATGTCAGGCTCCCTGCTCAGTGGGGAGTCTGCTTAAGATTCTCTCCCTCTTCCTCTGCCCCTTTCCCTTTTCATGCTCTCTCTCTCTCTCTGAAATAAATAAATCTTTAAAAAAATTTGACCTCTGGCCTGCTCAGTTGGTAGAGCATGCAACTCTTGATCTTGGGGTGGTGAGTTCAAGTCCCACACTGGGCATAGCGCCTACTTAAATTTATATATATGGACACATGGACTCCATCCCCCAGAGATTCTGATTTAATTGGTCTGGGCTGTGTCCTGGACATCAGGATTCCTTAAAGCTCCTCAAGTGCTTCCAGTCTTGAGAGCCATGGGTTCAGTTTGGTGCTTTTCAAACTTTAATGCAGCATCTAGGGATCTTGCTAAACTGCAGATTCTGATTCAGTAGCTATTGGAGGTAGGGACCCACTTTTTGAGAATGAGTCTCTTATGAACACAGTTACATCAAGAATTTCAATCTTTTGTTTTCTAGAGCCAATTGAGAAATTCCTCAAAAATAGATTAAGGAGTTTTAATGGTCTACCATCAGATATCCCCAGATGGCTCTAGAATTCTGCATTAGTAGTATGTTTGTACGCTGACGGGAAAGATCAAGTACTGAGGGAAATAGTGATGATGCAACAGACAGCAACAAGAATTTCCAGAGTCACAGCCGGGAGCCATCAGAGAGGTTGAGATCAAGCACAAAGTAGGCGGTACTGGCCTTAGAAAGGAGCATAGATATAGATAGTTCATGCAAGGACAGTTTTATGCTGCAGAACTGAAGCGCCTTTGCTTGAAGTTTCAGGGGAAGAAGATATTTTCTTCCATTTCCAAGGTTCTTTCTACTAACAACTTTTTGTTAGGAAGAGCTGCCTTCTCAAAGCTGAACACAGGAAAAGAAGCAGTTCTGACAATGGGGAAACAAAACCCTTAGAGAGTTTCTGAACAATTAGAATTGAGAAAGAAAATGCGAGTCCTTCAACTGAGAAACGGGCAAAGGGTGGTTCTGCATGTTATACTGAATGTGGACAGTATAAACAATTGTTTGAGAAAAAAGGACGATCCTGCCCCTCTGCGAACAGAATTCTCCTTGACACTGTTGGTGCGTCTCTGGGCAGGGGATCAAGCCTCGCTGCTTGGAACTGACAAAAATCCACAGATCAATTTGCTTACAGTTCACGTCACAGATACATTACTTATTATGTCTGTTAATGGCATTTCTGGGAAGATAGCTCCAACTCGTGTCCTGAATTTAATTCACGTCGAGTAATAAAAACATGACAAGTTTATGACTATAAAAACTAATGATGTAATGTATGGTGATTAACATAACATAATAAAATAAAATTTAAAAAAACCAGCAGCAGTCAATAATAATCTGTACTTAGTGGGGAAGCTTACTTAACATGTATAAACCTTATTTCCCAAGTCATCGTGAGTGGGCACAGCCCGTTATCGCCTCGTGAGATACCTCATAAAGGAGTAAATTTTGACAGGTGCACAAATGCAATATGTCTGAGAAGTTTTGCATTAAAAAGAATATAAGCCAGGGAGCCTGGGTGGCTCAGTTGGTTAAGCGACTGCTTTCAGCTCAGGTCATGATCCTGGAGTCCCGGGATCGAGTCCCGCATCGGGCTCCCTGCTCGGCAGGGAGCCTGCTTCTCCCTTGGACCCCTCCCCCTTCTCATTCTCTCTCTCTCTCATTCTCTCTCTCAAATAAATAAATAAAATCTTTAAAAAAAAAGAATATAAGCCATTAAGTAGTCAGCTTTTACATGCTTTACCTGGTCAGATAAAATAAACAAAACTGTATACTTTTGTGTATAAGCAAAAAATATAGACTTTTTTTGATCAGATGTATGTGTCTGTAGAAAGTCATAACTATAAGTTTTTAACACTTTTATACTAAATAAAAATATATTCTAAATCCTAACTATATCTAAGGCAATAAATAAAAATAGCATTGAAATAATATAAATAATGTGCTTAATAAGTAGCTCTTTTACTTTAAAGATTTATTTATTTATTTGAGAGAGAGAGAGAGTGAGTGATGGAGGGGAGGGGTAGAGGGAGAGAGAGAAAAGAAGCCAACTTCCTGCTGAGCCTGGAGTCTGACATGGGGCTCAGTCCCACAGCCTGAGATCACGACCTGAGCCAAAACTAAGAGTCATGCTCAACCGACTGAGCCACCCAGGCGCCCCAGTAGCTCTTTTACTTTAAATATTGTTTGAGTAAGGTTGGCCTTCATAGATGTGATTTAAAGAATATGGTCTTACATTTAGATTTTGCCAAATCATGGTGGGGGAAGGGGAGTTGAGGATGGGATGTAGTGGGATTAGGTCAGTTTGGGATCTAGGCTCTGGTCATGTCTTCTGTGACTTCAAAGCTGGGAAAGACAGGGGAGATAGCTCCTCAGTCCCTTTTTTAAAGTAAAAGTAAAGAGAGTATTAAACAAAGGGAGGAAATCTACTATCAAAATCAACTAGGTGTCAGGGGCTCAGTCACTGAGGAGCAGGTGCCTGGAAACTGACAAAGTCAGGTGCACAAACCCAGTCAGATGGCAAGTGCCCATATCTCTGTAGTGCACAGCTCAGAAGCCGTCACATCTGAAAAGACCACTAGAGAGATGGGGAGAAAGTCAGAGATGTCTGTGAAAAACTGTACCCAGAATGGGAGCCCCACAGGGGTGTGGCTAAACTCTGCCTCTAGGCAGACAAAGTATGAGGCCCAGGTATTCTGGCCTCCTGACCTGGGGAGGTCAACAGCCCTTCCCAAATCTGACCATCAGAAAATCTAAGAGTGGGGTGCCTGAGTGGCTCAGTCGTTAAGCATCTGCCTTCGGCTCAGGTCATGATCCCAGGGTCCTGGGATGGAGCCCCACATCGGGCTCCCTGCTCAGCGGGAAGCCTGCTTCTCCCTCTCCCACTCCCTCTGTTTATGTTCCCTCTCTCTGTGTGTCTCTCTCTGTCAAATAAATAAAATCTTTTAAAAAAAAGATATATATTGATAGTAATGCCTGTGAAAATAGAGCCAAATGAGAGATATAGGCGAAATCTCAAAAGGTTGTTATTGTTTTACTCGTTCATTTTTGCTACTGTTTATTACTGGTATACAATTCTAAGACATTGTGAGATCTATTTCTTTTGTATTTTTCTGGTATCAGTTGGGGAGAGATAAAATTGTCTCTTGTTTTTTAAAGATTTATTTATTTATTTGAGAGAGAGCAGGGGGAGGGGCAGAAGGAGAGGGAGACAAGCAGAGCAGGGAGCCTGATGCGGGACTTGATCCCAGAACCCAGAGATCCTGATCTGAGCCGAAATCAAGATTCAGACGCTTAAATGACTGAGCCACCCTGGCAGCCCCTGGCTCTTCTCTTTACAATAAATGATACCATGCATACTGAAAAGTTTCATCGGGGTCTATGTCATAAAAACTTAATTCCAAAATATTTAGATTACAATTTTTTAAAAAGGGAATTCATGATGTGGTCTGAAAGGAAAGACATTGGCTTATCTGTAGCCAAAACAGCAATGTTTTACTCTTTAATGCCTCTCTTCCAACTGAGTCTGTTTTCTCATTCAAAGAAAAACAGTTTTCCCAATGTCTTTCCTCAGGATGTAGAAAATATATTAGATCAAACCTGGACTCAGAAAAAAAAAGAAGAAAAATGGACAAAAAGTCCTGACTCTTGCAATGAGATAATTGTAGTGAAAATATACAATACTTTGGTGGC